GGCAGGGATGGCGGGGCGCGTGGTGCGCGCGCCTCTCGTGCGCTACGCGTTCCTAGAGGCAGGCCCGTCTTCGATGGTGGGTCCGTCGGGGCCCTTGGCGCGTCGCTCTCTCCCTAAGCGGCCGTCTGGAATTTTCTTCCGGGGTTCCCCGGTCCACCCGGGCAGACCTCAGCAAGCCCGGGTCTCTCGGCGACGACCGGTCGGGCTCCTGGCCCGGAAGTCGGGCGTCCTGGGCGCCGTGCAATTAAGGGCCCGGCCCTTTGTGCCCGCCCCCTGTCGCCGTAACTTGGCCGCAAGCGGGCGCTCCCAGGACGCGGCATCCGTCCGCCGCCGTGCCGATCGGGACCGGGGAAAATCACCAGGCCGCGTCCCCCGGCCCGGCTCCTGTCCGGGTAGTCCTGTGTCTCCTGCGGGCGGCCCACCTTTAGCCGCTATGGCTAACCAAGGGCCCGCCCCCGCAGGTAGGGCCGCCAGGGTGGCGAAGACGGGGTCGGCCGGTTCCCCTCATAGGGCTCGACGTTCGGTCCTGTCCTCTTCGGTTTGATACGCCCCTGCGCCGGCGTCGCCTTCCTTCTCGACGTGGCTCTCGTAGCGGCGAGCGACGACAAAGCCGCGACCTCTACGAGGTCGATACTGTTGCCGTTCCGGTTGCTAACCGAGTTAGCGTAGCTATAATCCTTTCCCAAATATTCGCTGGGATATTCTTTGAATATTTCAGCCAATATTCGAGATCACAAAATTAATATTGGATTTGCCTACAGAAAAAGAAAATTAATTGCTAGAAAGGGTGAAAATGCGTATCCCGAGCGGCGCCTCCCGGGGATTCGCAATCGCAAAAACAAGAGATGTAAAAAGGTTAAAACAATTTATATTGTTAAATGGTCGGCGCAACGTTTCCTACGGCGCTATGCTTTACCCTTTTTCACCGGCCTACAGGAGCCGGGGGTCCAGGCTGCGGTGACTGGAGGGGTCGGAGATGGTGGGGGCGGTTGGCCCTATTTTATTTGGTTTCGTTAATAACTTTCTTTTTGCTAAGATGCGAATTCCATATCGTAAACAGAGCGCGCGAACTCGAGAAAGCGTAACAGCGATAGAGAACGAGGACCTCTTCGTTTAGTCATCGTATTTTTTTATACTTAGTATTAAAGGGGAATTAGTCGACCCAAAATACCTTTCCCTTACCTCCTGCCGAAATATGGCATTTAAATTATTTTATCGGGAACGTCGGATTCGACTAACTCCTCTCTCTCTTTTTCCAGTGGCGTACCTGGAAGAAAATATGAACCGACCGTTTCTGTATTTTTTTTTATTTGCATCCCTTGGGCCTTAAGCCATATTAGGCAAGTGAAGCGTGATAATTTTAATTCAATCCGCTAGAAACAGGGAATAGCGGTTGCTAGGCCTCGCGCGCTATCGATAGCTATAAGCGCGACGGACCGGCTCCGCGCGCGCGACGCCCGACCTCCGAGGGACGACCCATAACACGACGTCAGGGCCGTCAGGATATCGACAGGAGGAAGCGTCGGCGGGGCACCACCAGGGCGAAATTCCAATCAACACCGAAGGACGAACTTCCGCCACCCAGGGCGGCACCGGCCTCTCCCCTCGGGCCACCTGAACCACGCAGGGGTCGGACCTGCAGAGGCCGCCGGATGCCGGACCCGGGGGGGCAGGGCCTCAGTTCGTCCTAGCGGCGTGAGGAGGCCCGCCCGCGGGGAGGGTGCCGACTTCCCGGCCAGGCGCCGGACCGGCGGGCAGGAGCCCACCTGCGAGGCCCCGACCATCGCCGATACCCTCGAGGAGGCGTCTCTGCGTCCTCGAGGAGCCCGTCCGAGGCCATGCATTGGTGCGGCGGACGGGCCAAAAAGACCCACGATAATTGGGATTAAGTGGCGCCTCGGGGACCACCGAGGTCATCCAGGGCGACCTCCTCGAGGGAGGGACACCTGGGGCTACGGCTTCGACCGAGCCCCAGGTCAACCGGGACCAGCCCAGGACGAGGAACGCCTCGGGAAGAAACAGCATCGGGCCCGAGGGAGAGGAGGCCCTCACCGGTGCCGTCCCTGATCCTCGAGCGCGGCGCGAGCCGGCACCCCGCCGGCCCCCGGGGACCCCCCGTCCCGGGAGCGCGCCAGCCGAGGATCCCCACCGGGGAACCAAAAACCGCGGAATTGGATCAACTGGGGAAAAATTAGGCCAATGGGACCCCGCGGACGTCATAGGACCATGGAGGGGGGACCCGAACAAAACGGGCCGCCGGACGCGGCCCGCTCTTCCTGGTCCCCGAAAATTGGTCGAAGACGGACCTCGACGCATCTACCGCCGCCGCCTCTCGCCGCAGTCGCCCAAGAGCCCGACCGCCACGCCGGAAGACCTTCGCCGAGCCGGAGCCGGTAGGCCGCAGGGCCACAAGGTAACCGGGGCCCGGGGCCCACCCCGCGCGTAGCCTCCTCCTCCCCCGCCGTAAAAGTGCTAGAACCTTAGTTCGCGTTCCCCTAGAGGAGGCCGCACGGGGCGACGAACGGCCGCGCCAGGTCGCGGTCGCGCGGAGCGACCGCGCGAGTAGAATCGCGGGGAGGACGGGGATCGGGTGGGAAGACCAGGGAAACCGGGACCCTTGCCCGGGAAAATCTTGGCCGTTTGGCCGACCGCGCGGCGAGTCCCTACGGGCGCCGGGAAAATGTTCAGGGAAAGAATTAATGAATAAAAAGCCCCGCGAGTAGGATCCCTTTTGCGGCCCGGATCGAGTGATACGGACCCCGCACGTCCCGTGTAAGCTCCTCCCCGAGCCTTTTTCTTATAGGAAATCACCCTTAAAATCTCGAGTTCGCGAGGCCGCGAACCAGGTGGCCACGGGGCGGCCAGAGGGACGTCCGTGTCACCCGGCGCGCACGCTCCTTTCCTTTTCCTTATCCCTCGGGGCTGAACGGCCCGTTTCCGCATCGCGTAGCGCGGAGCGAACGCCGCGTTGCGAAAGACGTATGTCCCTGTGCTTTTTCAACTCTATTTCCTTATCCGGCGAAATCGCGACGATTTTCGGCCGAAGACCTTTCTTCCCATAATTTCCTATATTTGTCGTCTCCTCGGAAACTATTATTTGTCTCCTCTCCGAGTTCGAAGCGACTTTCGTAATAATCTCCGTTTCGCTTCTTAACGAAATACTTTTCCCTAAAAAGCTCTATTCCTCCGGTCTGCGCTTTATTCGGAGACCGTTTCGGAAATATTGCGATATTTCGCAATACCCCTTTCTAACATCTTTCCTTCTCCAGGACGACTCGGAAATTTCTAAGTCCCTCGGGACTGTCCTGATTTCTTCTCTTACGCACGACTTAAAGTGCGATAGTCCCTTCGAGTAAATTTCCTAAGTTCCTCTCTTGCCTACATGGTATGTTTCTTCCCTTTGAAGAGATCGGAAAACCGATCATTCCTTGTTTAAGTTAGAGTTCATCCCTCGCGCAATTAATTGCGGTTTCAGTTCCTCTTCGAAATAATTAATATTTTGAAATCCTTTCGCGTTCCACTTTGAACCAGTTCAGTTCGCGTATATTTTACCATAATATCCCTCAATTTCCTATCTCCATTTTTATTATCGTCATTTTGTAGTATTGTACCTCGCAGATAATATTTCCTTTCCAGTCTATCTTCTTCTTAAAGTGCCTACGGAGAGATCAGCTGACGCTCCGCTTATGAAATTGTTCTAAGTCCCTCGCGCGATCTATCTCCTTTAAGATCGCGACTCGTCAACAGTTAAAGTTCCGATACAGCCTTCCCGTCGGAAGAAAATTCGCGGTCGCATATACTATTTTCGGGAACCGGCGTGGTCCTTCGTTAATTATCCGTTTTAATTGTTACCAGAAACATAATTATTTTTCGGCAGCCGTTCTAACATTAATATTTTAAGTGCCTCGACGGTGTATGTAATTTTACATGTCCTTTTATACAGGTGGCGAGCGCTCCTATTTCCCTTATTACCTATATTCCTTACTTTTTCTTTAATATTGCTTTGTGCTATAATTCTTTTTGGATCTCGCGAAATCATTGTAAAATAATTAATTTGTTGTGGACGCGCTTGCGGCGCGCGCAGTAATTTTCCGAAGTTATGTCGGGTTCACGCCTTTTGACAATTGGTTAACTTTCCCTTCCGGAAACTCTTATTTAAAAAAAAAAAAGCTTTCTTTTGGAATCCCTTTCCCGCCGGATCATTGTCGGGTTCTAGCCGTTCGGATTATTGTTAAAATCGAGCCGGTTTATTAATTTTGGCAACCTCAGATTAACTCGGGTGAATAAATCGAACTGTGATTTACCCCTTAATTTTGCCGTTCATTTTATTTATTCCCCAAGGCAGACCTTTCCTCTAATTTATCGAAACGAAATCGGGTCCCTTCCGGACAATTCGAATAACGGGAGTTAAGCGCCCTTACCTCGCCCCTCTCCGCAGCCATTTCGGTGGCCAACCCAGTTGAGTTAGCTGGCCCTTCGCTCTGGCCGCGAAGCCCTTAGGAGTAGCAACACGTTTTGGGAAAGTCTTCTCCGAGGACGGGCCTCGGAGAAGCCGGGGATAAACCCTTCGCCCTCGCCTTCCGGCTCCGCTCTCGCGGGGAGAGCCTGAGCCCTAGGAAAGGGCGGCCGAAGGGCCCCCGAAATTTAGTGTCCTAGGACGCCTGGCGCCCAACCGGAAACGGATTTGTGTGTGTGCTCAGGGGTGGGTGCGAGCCAGGGCAGAGGATAGGGACATTGGGACGTAGGGCCCTTTTGTGACTCAAAGGTATCCCCCTGAACGGGACCAGAATAAAAATCCGTCACAATATATATATATTTATCTATTTACATGCAATTAAGTATGATTCATCACATATAGTAAGGACCGAAAAATAGCGTGATCTAATTATATATGATCATATATGTTCACATATCAAGCCGAATTTCATATCGAATCATATACAAAAATGTATTGCTAATTGATTTGCTCGTAGCAAAACCAAACTAAGATTATTTTTATAGCCCCTAAGGTGTATACCATATCCTTAATACCAGTCGCAGCATGGCCACGTGAAAACTGCAAGAAAATAAACATTGCATAATAAAATAGCAGTGAATTTGCAATACATATTGTAATAATTTATGTTGAATAATGCTACAATGGCAGTTTCACCTTAATATACATTATTTTTTACTGCATCTGAGGATGTAAAGGAGAGCGAAGGAAGTTACAATTAATAACATATTACGTTTTATTTTATTACATTTATTTCATTTGATTTAGACATTTTAGTTTTACATTTTGTATTCTTTCGTTAGTTGTTTGGCCAAATGCATTGTTCGTGATGTGACATGACATTTCGCGTTGTACATTCTGCACCTTATTTTATTCATGCATTATTGTAACGGTTAATGAAAATATCTGTGCACTGAGAAAAAAATTCATTGAACCAATTAAATATTCCCTTGAACGGTACCAAAAAATATTTCGTTAATTGAAAGAATAATTATTTTACTCAAATAAACTCAATTAAATAGTCATAATTTTGAAGGAATGTTACATCCAATTTATTCAAGTTTATTTGAGTCAAATAATTATTCTTTGAATTAACGAAATATTACTTTGGTACTGTTCAAAGGAATATTTCTTTGGTTCAATGAAATTTTTCTCAGTGTGGTCGTGTATCTGCGTTCTATCGTGTATCAATATGTTCTTTTCAAAATATACTCGTCTGAACAATGCATTTGTTATCAGGGGGTACCACGCGAAGGCAACTAACATCATTCCCCGCACATTCACACACTCACTTATAATTTACTGTGATTACTGTGTCTCTGTCTGTCTGCTGTCTCATTCCCTTCATGGCAGATTCCTTGAATGAATGACAGAACTCAATGTGTGCCGGTGTAAAGACGGATTTCTCAAATTGTATGAAATAATGTCAAAATTATTAGGGCTACATGCATAATAAGAATTGTCCCCAATATTACACAGCGGCGTATTCGTACGTGTAGAAGCATATACTAAAAGTTTTCTTTTACTCTTTAATCTTTCCGATTTCTAAGCGAGACAATCAACATATCACTTTTTCGTTATAAAAGACGAATGGATTGTTTGAAACATAAAACAACTTTTCCAAAATTCTAAGAACTTGCTTCGGGTTATTTTTACGATGACAGTTGTCCTTAATATTTTCATAGCGCGTTATGAAACAAAAGTATGGTTTTGACAAAACTATAGTTTCATGCATTCATACTTTGTATCTAACACTACTGACATCACAATTCGTAAAGTCTCATTCTTAATTGTTTTCTCATTGGTAAATAAGCAAAAAGTGTCCACTGTGCACCGAAAGTGAGCGTCTCTATTGAGATTCAGGCTTGCATCACTTCGTGCTATAGTGAGGGCAGCTTTGGGACTTTTTTTTGCAAACGGAATGAAAAGAACCATACAAAGAAGAGCTTCTTTCGAAATCTGCTTCTCAACAGATCACTGTTATTCGGACGATTGAAATCAATAGTTATTTTGGCATTTACGCTGTCTTCAATACAAGCATGCAGATTCGTAGACTATCACTACGGACTTCACTATTCATAAAGTCTCTTTTTTTTATTGTTTTTCATTCCTAAATAAGCTGTTACGGGGCGGCCGAGCGGATGCGAGGCCGGGGTAATTATCATTTTCATTCTAGTTTATTTATTAACCCTTCATCTCCGACCAAAACCGAATACTAACCATTATCGCGATTTCCATGCCTTGCTCCGGTTAACCAGATAGATTTAGAATCCATCAACCTTCTTTTAACAGCTGAGCTCGAATCTCAGCATCGTGAGATAGAATCACGCGCAGACCACCATTAACATATCAAGAATTCCCGCGTCAGCACTCCGGTGTCCAGTGACCTGCCGCCGCTAAAGCGCGCTATCGCGACACCCGAACCACCGCGACGCGGAAGTATACTAACCTAGCGAAATTAGGTCAACGCACCTCTGGTGCTCTTCACAACTAACTGTAGTTCAGACCTCGCGAATAAACACCAATCTTATTGCCACCTAGCACTTCGTTTGAACCCCCTTTTTATCCCTCACTCTCCTAGATCCCACCAGAGGAATTGATCTAGTCGCTCGGATCAATCTCCTCGCGAACGCAAAACAAACGTTACGCGTAAAATTTGGGTAATCTCCATCCGAATTACCCCGGCCGCGCATCCGCTCGGCCGCCCCGTAACACATCACTTCATGCAATAGTGAGCGCAGCTTCGGAAATTTTTTTTCAAACCGAACCACTCGCCATGTAGTTATCATTGAGACAGTCGAGGTATCAATTACCTCAATAAGCGAATCATCACTTCGTCAGTACAATACAGCTCTTAAAAAGTGGTGGAACTTTTGTATGGAAAAGAGCGTTAGCCCTTACGCGAGAAATATTCCCCACATTCTTCGTTTCTTAACGGGTGAATTCAATGAGGGAGCTACGTACGGGACGATAAACAGTTACAAATCAGCAATAGCCTTGCTACTGGGACCCGAAGTGGGCCAAAATTCCATGATTAAACGATTTTGTAAGGGAGTTGCGAACCAACGACCCCCAAAACCCAAGTATAATGATACTTGGGACCCCAAAGTCGTTTTAGATTTGTTTAAGGTGATGTGAAAGGCGATAAGCAACTCCGAATCCGGCCCCTGGGTCTGGGATGGNAGTCGTGCTGATGCGTTGCGGAGTCATCAGGTTGTTTGCCCCGGGTCGGTCGTGACTTTTGGAGCCGTTTGGCCGGTGAACTCGTTGAATTCTTTCGCAAGGGTTTCGCGTTTCTGTACTCGGATTTCCATGGCTGACTCCGGTTAATAAAAAAAAACGGATTTTTTCCTATTTTAGGGTACGGAAGGTACCTACGTAACAAAGCAAATAGCGTCCACTGTGCATTGAAAGTGCGCATCTCTGCTGAGATTCTGTCTTGCATCACTTCATGCTATAGTGAGGGCAGCTTCGGGACTTTTTTGCTAACGTAACGGAAAGGACCGAGAAGCTATTTACTTGGAAATCAGTGAAAACGATTTCCTTTTTTAGCAATCGATTGTCTTCGATTTTATATGATAAAAAAGAATGCGATTCGGTAACAAATAACGTTCAGTCTTAATATTGTGAGTGTGTTTTGGTGATTTTTAATGATTTTCAGCGATTTTTGCTTGATTTTTATTTCAAACTGATTTCCACGTGATTTCGAGTATTATAATCCATGATTTCTTGAGTGAATACCCCCTCGAAAAGAACCTTACTAAGAAGGGTTTCTTTCAAAATCTGCTTCAATACATCACTGTTATTCGAAAAATTGAAAACGTTAATTATTTCAGTATTTATGCCGATTTTAATACAAGCATGCAAATTAGTAGACTATTACTACTGACTTTACCATTCGTAAAGATTCTTTTTTTATTGTTTTTTCATTGCTAAATAAGCAAAAAGTGTGCACTGTTCACTGAAAGTGCATATCTCTACTGAGTTTCTGCCTTGCATCACTTCATGCAATAGTGAGCGCAGCTTCGGAAAATTTGTTGCAAACCGAACCGCTAGTCCATGTAGCTATTATTCCATTAATGGTGTTCTGACTTTCATGGTGTTTCAATTCTTAATTTTATTGTATACCAATAAAATAATTTCGTAGCGGTTGTTTTCCTAAATACTGCGTTTTTAATTGTACACAAGTTATTATGTGCAGCTCACACACATTTGCACATTCATTTATGACTTCGCTTATTTCATAAAATTTATATTTATTTTCACTAACGTTCTACTTAACATTATTCGCACTCATTACTTGAGATATATTCACGATTATTTAAAAAAAATTACTACATACTACATGTACACATCTCACAAATTCATAACATTCTTCATTTTTCGGGAGTTGCTGGATCCGGTACTTCATGCTTCGTTGTTATTACTGCTTGTTTTTGCATATAACTTCACCCGGAGAAGAAATTGCAAAGCTGTATGTCTATGTTCAACATAGCTATTATTCTTATTAAACCATTCCGGGAAAGCCTTATTTGTTTTGCGGATACAATCTTCCATTATATCATTAAGTACGGAGCTTGAGGTCCAATATTGTTACCATACGTTGTTGAAAACAGATAATTGTAGACCCACAACCTCTGCAAATACTGTTGTTGGTCTCGTAAATTTTGTTACTGCGGGTGCATCATCGTCAGTGTTAGGATATTCTCTAAACGCAATATATGACTTATCTTTATTTGTCACGTCCATCGAAGTCGTCATCATTGCTATTCTGCACTGATCGCAATTATTGGAAGTTACTATTTTCATTGCTATGTATCCTGCAAAAAATACGATGCTGTTTTTCTCGTAAAGACACACATTCCCTAATTGAAATTTGCTGATGTCATGTAATCCGTCTATGTCTTCGATCGTCTTCCGTAGGATAATATATTCTTGATCATCTTGAATTTCTGTGCCCAGAAGATCTTCATCTTTTTGCTGGAGTATGCTTATCGCTGCATGCTCCGTTTCTTCAAATGCAACCGACAGAGCGGTTTTTGGTTCCAATAAGGAATGAGTCTTCTCGCATCGTACGTTTCCATGTTCACTCGTTAATATAAATCCAGTCGAAATTATGTCTTAATGACAATCGAACCATTCTTGCCGTTGAATTCGGGTTGTGCCCTCCACGATGTAGTTTGGAAAATAAATGTTCCACCGAGTCTTGGTTACACAACCCTACGGCAAGCTCGAATCCTGGGAAATCTTCCGTTAGAGATTCGTAGCAATTTAAAATGGCTTTCAACGTTAACGGCAATCCTTTCAAACAGGGTGCTCTTTCTTTTTGTTTGCCGTCCACAGTAGCATGCCACTTAGAAGACCATTCAACAAAATCTTCCAGAGTTTCTTGGATTTCTGGATTCTTTTCAGACAGTGGGCGCTTTGCCGGATTTCTTGAATTCAATCTATAAGCATTGCAGCTGTTAATTACCTTGTTCATTTTTTCCATGTAATCGACAGTCTTCTGCCATGTATTGTTTTTCAACCCGTTTGGATCTGATCCAGCAATTTTTATTGCACATGCATACGTATGGCTCAGCATTTGAAAAGCTCTCTTTACATTCATTGTTTGGAAACATGACGGAGAAATGTGAGCTTCCGAAATGTGTGACAATAGATGGGATGTGGTATTAAGCCTGTCATACTTCCGTGTATCAATCAGGTCATTGTATGAAACGATCAGTCCACCATCTGCATATAAATGTTGATATGTTCGCAACTGGTACAATAATCGTTTGGTTAAATGCGGGAAATCAAACGATGCAAGGTATGTTCGGCTATTATGATTGAACCAAGGTTTTTGTTCGCTCACGTTCAATCTTGCAAAACATCTTTGGTTAATGGCACCTTGATCGCATGTTACTAAGCGTACATCACTTTTAGCAATTTTTATTTTGTTCAAACTCATACGAACAAGTGCTTCTATATCCTCGCTGGTAACACCTTTTCCGGTCAAGAAATATGCAAGTACTTGTCTCCACAGATTCTTGGCATTCAAGCTATCCAAGCCAAAAACCAAGACATTTTTTGCGAGTTCGAATCTTCTTCCTAGGGGACCTAAATCGACGAGTCCCTCAATAACATCTAGTTTTTTCGAGTATTCCTCAAAACGCTTTATTACCATCTCGTCCCACTTTAAAGCACATACTCTTTCTTCCGAAAGGTAATTGCAATAATTTATTCTGGAGTTTGTCGAATATGCACTCGCAGAATCCTGGCCGTAGATCGTATGCCGATACCCATCTACGTATGGTTGATTCGGCTGGTAGATTACAGTCTGCCCTTCTTAATCGCGAGTAAGACGATGCAGAATAATAAAACATTTGTTTTGCAACGTCTTTCTCTTCTGCGCTGTATGGGGTATTTGGTTTGTGCAATTGCAATTTTGCCCTGGTCCGCGCAACAGGACGATGACACCCTTTCATATTCAAAAAAGTGTCCACGTCCATTTGTGTAGGACCTTCGTATGCTATTTTCTAGAGAACCGTGACTTTTTTTCGCACGTGTCCTAATTCCTTTTTCAATTCAGAATTTTCTTTTTTTTATATTTGCACTTCATGTTTTAATTTGTATTGTTTTACTGATTTACAGAATAATGCAGTCATACTTGCGCTCGTATTTGCGGTTGTAATTACGGTCGCAGTGGGGATCGAAGCTATGACTGTGATGGCACTCAAACTCGAAGCTATACAAATATTTGCAGCAGTTGTTGATGCGTTACTATTACACGCGCAAGAACCTTTAATGGAATTAGTGACGGCAGTGGTGGTACACGTAGTTGCCATTACAGAAGTGATACTTGTAATTTCCTTGACGTTCTTGGATTGAATGGGCGGTTCAATGAACATCCATTCCATATTTGTGTCCGAATTGTCAAAAGCTAATGAACGAGTGACAGTGGATGCATACTGACGGACATGCGGTTGACGCAATACTTCGCTATGCTGTGCATGCATATTTATTCCCTTACCGGAATTTTGTGGCTTCGGCGGAACCGTACCATCGCTACTGGTAAAGGTGTCCCACGGCACGGGAATTGCGTGTGGTAGCAGGCGAGTTTTCGTAGCATTGTTGAAGTCCTGCGGTTAAAAATGCGTTTCGCATAAACCCGAGTCACGAACCGATCTAGCCGAACTGGTGTGCAACCGGTTATTTCCTAAAACAGATTGATATATGTTTGTTATGATGTACAATCTGAAATTTAAAAGACATGTTGAATAGGAGGCGATCGAGGTCAAAAGTAACATGGGGCGATTGTAACAAACATTATACATTTTATCTTTAAACGTGGGAAAACATGTAGAAACGGTGGAAGCTTTTCAATAGCACAATTAATGTCTTACAATAATGTCATATTTGTGAGACCAAGCGTTGTTATCGACATTTTTCATAAAACAGTATAGATAAGTAACATTTTCATGGATTCAATATTTTTGGTTTGATTAAATGGGAGGGGGGGGCAGATATATTCATGTTACGGTATTGCATATAGAGTAGTTCGTTATATGTTTAATCGATTTTAAGTTAAAATAACTATAAGTAGTTATAATTTGTAACAGAAAATTTTGCCTCAACGTCTCGCGACTGGTCGCACGGAAACCTATGACAAATTAAACACTTTTAAGGCCTTAAAGCGATGGAAACCGTCAATCTTGAATTCGGCGCCGGTTGTCGAGTATGATTTAAGTGTCGCCTACGAGCTCGCGGTCCGGTACCCGAAGCCACCAATTCCCCCTCTTAACACGTAGCGAGCCGATCGATCGAAGAAGATCACTCTCAAACTAACACTCGACGCGTTCGCACTTTTGGCAATTGCGTGCCTTATTTAATTATTAAGTTAATTTAAGTAAGAAGATCATATGAAAAATGATTCAACCCAGAGAGTCGGTTTCCGAAGGACCTTCGGAAACGCGCGTTTTATTTCGTAAGTACTTGTACATTCTGTTCAATTAATTATTCAATGTTCTTGGAAATTCGAAATCTTCTTCCTTTCGGGTCATCCCATTTGGAACCCAATTAGTATTTTTGTAAAATAAAATAAATGGAATCGTTTTTGTTAATTTTATTAAAATTATCTGGCGCCCAACACTTTTACGGCCAAGTTTGAGCCCCGACAGCCCTTGACCCAGGCCGCGTCGGGAGTGGACTTTCGATATTTTGAATAAAATAAAAATTTAAACAATAAAGTATGAGAAAAAGAAAGTCCGGTCTCAAATTATATCAATCATTTGAAAGAATACAATGAGGACAGTTGTAACAAGTCAAGTAGATTCCAGTCACCTACATCGTCGAAAAACACATTCAATAAAATTTATTTACGGCAAACCTTTGAACGTAAGAACACGCCTTGTACATATACAAATATTCATAAACAGAATTAAAACAAAATAGATAAACCTAACCTTTATCACTTAATCTGTACATTGGTTACAAGTCTATCAAATTTTATATTCATTTCCGGATGAATCCCAAATTAATACAATCTGCTGTGCCATTTGTCAACTCATACTTCTCATTCTTAAATATTTATTCAATTCTTCAAATTAATAAGTTTCGTTACATTTGTTCCAACAATTGTTACAATCACATTTTATATCGGCGGCAATTGTAACAAAGAAGTTCCAATTCAACCACATAATATTTTGCTACAAATATCTGATACTCTTAACCAGAAAAATAATAAGAATACATTTAACAATTCAATCTTGTTGAAATGACTGGAATTCTGTTCATTTCATTGGACTTTTTTTAAATGTAGTTTTTTCAAACGTCATTAAAGAACCTTCTTTTTCTCTTAAGAGTATTATGTACTCTACACCGTTGCTGAAGCATTTCGCAAAACAAACAAGATAAACGATCTTTCAAGTTTTGTGTAGACTTTCATATTTTTATACTACTTTTCTGAATAGTCACGAGCTATCACTGTACAGAACAGTAAAAAGAGACGTACAAAGGGATGAATGAAATTGATATAAATGCTGACGATAATTTGCGTAAGGTAGGAAAACCAGAGACGATTGTTTGCTCTAGACGGTAAATAAGTTGAAAGGAGAGAAAAACTGAAAATTTAAAGGCAGAAGGATGATATGGATAACGAGTAATGAAAAGAATGGTAGCACTAAAATAATTATTGTGTGCATAAACGAGTATAATTTAAGTAATATATTATAGGTAAGTCCCATTTTTCAAAACTGTTAAGTGGAAAAAAATAACAGATATCAATTTATGAACATACATAATGTTCCAGGATGAAAGTTCAGAAGAAAAGTTCCAATATTAAGTAGTGAACGTAATTTCTGTACAAAAATTTGGCACTAAAAGTGAAACCGAAATGTTTTGAATGTAAATCAGAGATCTCTGTGTATATTTTGCTTAGTACAACGAATGCAATGAAACCGAGTCGTAGTGAAGATACATAATTTTGAATGAGCGATGGAGCTTCGTAATTAGCCAGGTACACTGTGTAATGGGTATTCTTAATATGAGTAAATATGTGTAGCTCTATCTGTAAAGAAAATGGTTGGTTGAAGGTATTTCTTCAGTTAAATTCCAACCGTTACCAATGTCTGTGTCGTAGCCAGATTGTAAAATCCGTTTTTTTGTAAAACGCTTAGCCATCTTATAAAATGCGGCCAGATGGTAAAATCATAGTTTACTTACCTTTATTTTACAATGCGGTTAGTAATTTTAAAAACTGATTAGACATTTTACAAAACGACCGACAACATTCCGCCGCATTGTCAAATTCATTAAATTACCACCCGTTTTACATTTGACGTAAGTAATTTCAGTCATTTTATAAAAATCGTTTTTTTTTCTACAGTCATTTTATAAGACGTCTAAATTCTTTTTGTTATTTTACAAATGTTTCAATTAATAAATTTAAAAAAAATTGCAGTGTTTAGGATAGAATGTTTCAATTAATACATTTGTATTAAAAATTGAGGCGTTTGGGATAGCATTTATTATTTTATTGGCGTAATGTCCTCGCGTACTTAATTTGGTACAAATACTGTTAGTTGAAATCTGTTGGACATATCTAAGACGAAATTTTAATTTTCATTTCCTGCAGAAAAACGGGGTTAATGGTTTATAAAGGATCAACGCAAAACAAGAGTAATCGGATAGTTATACATAAAAAGTACTTACCACAGTGGCTTATCCATTTCTCTACTTGTGGATCAGTGTTACACGGAAATCGAAATAATCTGTGTCATGTGCGATAGCGACCATTTTTAAAATGTCTGTACACTGGACTCCATCGATGGCTTGCACCTGGTTCGCACTGCCCTCTCCGGCCGCGCAGAGTACTAGCGGCGGGAGCAGCGCGGAATTCGAATCGCTCGAGGGGCAGAAAGGATTTCCTAAAGAAAATAAATATTTATAAACAAAAACAATTAATGAAAATTATTTTAGTATTACTGTGGAGCGTCCCTGACCCACCTAACGTAGTTTTTGTAAAATAATAATTTACAGAATTTTATAAAGAATATAATAGAACATGTTCTATTAAATGTTAACAAGTTTCTTAGTGATTCAATTGTTCCATTCACTGAACCGAAGTTAGAANTTTGTGTCCTCGTTGGTTGAATGTATTTCTTCAGTTAAATTCCAACCGTTACCAATGTGTGTTGTAGCCAGATTGTAAAATCCGTTTTTTTGTAAAACGTTTAGCCATCTTATAAAATGCGGCCAGATGGTAAAATCATCGTTTACCTACCTTTATTTTGCAATGCGGTTAGTAATTTTAAAAACTTATTAGACGTTTTACAAAACGACCGACAACACCCCGCCGCATTGTCAAATTCATTAAATTACCACCCGTTTAACATTTGACGTAAGTAATTTCAGTCATTTTGTAAAAAGCGTTTTTTTTCTACAGTCATTTTATAAGACGTCTAAATTCTTCTTATTATTTTACAAATGTTTCAATTAATAAATTAAAAAAAAATTGCAGTGTTTAGGATAGAATGTTTAAATGAATACATTTGTATTAAAAATTGAGGTGTTTGGTATAGCATTTATAATTTTATTGGCGTAATGTACTCGCGTAGTCAATTTGGTACAAATACTGTTAGTTAAAAGAGTAATCGGATAGTTATACATAAAAAGTACTTACCACAGTTGCTTATCCATTTCTCTACTCGTGGATCAGTGTCACACGGAAATCGAAACAATCTATGTCCCGTGCGATATCGACCATTTTTACAATGTCTGTACGCGTACAGATCAGTAGCACGTTCCATAATATACCGTTATAGCGGATAAAAGAAATATACAGGAAAAATATGTCAAATTATACACTTGACATGTGCGCGAAACACTACCCGAAATACAAATAAAATACTACAGCACAGTTTACACTCACGGAACCGCAATACTCCGTCGATAGCAATAA